GCAAATTGTGTGCAGCTGCTATGGAAATGCTATGGAGTTTTCCCAAAAAACTCAAAATAGAATTAGCATATGACCCGGCTAGATATGTGTACAAAGAATTGTTAAGTAAACATACCACAGACAACCACCATATATTCCTAACTGCCAAGACATGGAAATAGTGTAGAGTTCATCAACAGCAGAATAGGCTGGGGACATGGTTTAACAGGTAAAGACACTTGCCACTAAACCACACAATGACCTGAGTTCAGTTATCAGAACCCATGTGTTCGTAAAAGAGACCTGCCTCCTGCAAATTGTTCCTTAATCTCCACAGGTAAGCTATGGCCCATATGCTCCCTAATTCCCATAGTATAAAAAAATAAATATAATTTTAAAAGGTCAATAGATAATGGAAATGTAAAATATATACAACATGGAGTTTTTGTTATATTTATGTTGAGACAGGATCTCACTATGTAGCCCTGGCTGCCCTTGAACTTGATTTATGGGCCAGGCTGGACTTAAATTTACAGAGATCCACCAGCCTCTGCCTCCCAAGCACTGGGATTAAAGGCATGCACCATCAGGCTTAGTTTGTTTTTAGACAGGTTTTTATGTATCTCAGACCGGCTTCTAGCTCTCTATGTAGCCAGAGATGGCCTTGAACTCCTGATTCTCCTGACTCTACCTTCCAAGGACTCAGAAAAACAGAAATCATTACCCATATAAGTAGTTTCTTACTGTTTATTGCTGAATTATAGTTTTTCTTTTTAAAAATAATTTTTAAAATTTGTTTAATTTTATTTGTATGAGTGTTTTTGCTTGAAGATACTGGATTCCCTGGAACTGGAGCTATGAATGGCCTGGTCTCTATGCCTAGCCACATCGGAGTTTTATTCAGCTACAAAAAATGAAATTATGTCATTTGCAGAAAAATGGATGGAACTGGAGATCATCATGTTAAATGCAATAACTCAGACTCAGAAAGACAAATATTAGGGACTGGAGAGATGGCTCAGCAATTAAGAGCACTGACTTTTCTTCCAGAGGACCCAAGTTCAGTTCCCAACACCCACACAGTAGATCACAACCATCCAACAGCCATTGCAACTCCAGTACCAGGGGACCCAATACCCTCTTCTGACTCTAGCTGTACTGCATGCAAACAGATACATAGATATTCATACATACCCATAAGAAAAAGTAAGTAAATCTTTTAAAAATAATATTGATGAAAGGGGAATGGCTAAAATAAAAACACTGCCGAACTGTGGCTATTGAGAACTATTTACAGCCATTCTGGAAAACAGTGTGCCAATTTAAAAAAGAAAATTGAAATAGGGTCTCATTATGTAGCTCTGGCTGGCCTTAAACTCACAGAGAGTCACCTGCCTCGACAAAAACAAGTCAGCTAGATAGACAAAAGGCTTCAGCATGAACAAAGTCCACAGACATGAGGCAGGAGGAAAACTAGAGTTGGAAGAATTGTGTGATTAGCTGTGTTTAAATCTTAAACCACTGGCAACACACTCCCACACATTACTCAAAGATCCCAAGCAGGTAGCGGCATCAGTGAGTGCTCCAGAATTACAAGCTCAGGAGAGTGGTTCCCTCTTGGCCATTGGGGTGAGGTGGAGGTAGGTAGGGGAGCTTAAAGCAGAGTGCGGAGTCTGTCTTTGTAGTAGTCTTCTTGTCGTTTCATGTGTCTCAACGATTTCAGAGTAAAGCAAACCCAATAAAACCCAAGGAAAGGGTGCAGAAAAGCTGGCTGGTTACTGGATCTGGACACCAAGGTCCCACCATGGCCTTGTCACTTGTCTCAGAAGGAGATGGAGTATCAATCTGGAAGTAAAGGGAAAGCTGCCTCCCTGATGATCGGCTTACAGTCCCATCCTTTCATCCACACAAACAACATGCTGGTTCCCCACCTGGAGCGGATGGGGTTGGTGTGTTTGTGCCAAAAGCTGAACACATTCTGATACTACAGGTGCAAACCACTACACTAGCTAATATTTCTTTTTTAAGGAAGAAAATATCACTGTTAGTTCACAGTTGGTTCTCAGTAGGCGTAAGACCCCCCTTCTCTATACCCTCCTATACTCTTTATCCCCGTCTGTTGATGAGACACTTTGGCCCACAGTCTTCAGCTTGGGAGGAGAACTCTGATGGCCACATAGCTTTGGGAAAGTCATGTAGCCTTCCCAAATCTCAGTCACTTTGTCTGAGAAAAGGGAAAATAAGCACCTACCTCAAAAGATGTTTCAATTAGCAAGATGGTTCAGAGAGTACCGTAGTTTGAATATAACGGTCCCCATGATCTCAGAAGGAGTGGCACTATTAAGTGTGGCTTTGTTAGAGTGGGTGTGGCCTTGTTGGAGGAAGTTTGTCACTGTAGAGGTGGGCTTTGGGATTCCCTATGCTCTGGATACCACCCAGATGTAGGAATCTGAGCGATTACTCCAATACCTGCACACCACCATGCTCCTCGCCATAATGATAGTGGACTGAACCTTTGAAACTGTAAGTAAGCTACCTCAATTAAGTTTTTTACTTTGTAAGAATTGCCATGATCATGGCGTCTCTTCCCAGCAATAAAAACCCTAACTAAGACAGAGGGTAAAGGTGCTTGTCACCAAACCAAACAACATGCATTTCATCCTCAGGACCCATTAGATGAGAGGATAGAACAAGCCATGTTTACCATGGCTTATGAGCATGTTTACATTCCACATGCACAAATACATACTGCCTGGCATACAATAGGTGAGCAATTAATGTCTTCAGGAAAAAAAAATATTAAGAGGGAACATGAGGGGTGTAACAAAAAAACAAATACTGAGCTAGACCAGAAAAAGATGATTTAACATGGGACCACGAGTGTATGGGATCTTTGGATGTAGTGGAAAGGGTCTGGGAACTTAGAGGGGGAAAAGTACACCCTTGTTAACACTAGCCTCCAACAAGGCTTCAGCACTTCCTTCTAGAACCCAAATAATCGACAAAAATAAATAAATAAAACAAAAAAAGCAGCGGCATCTACAACTTTGTCACTATGGAAATGACCTCAAAATTATAGTACTTAGTAGACTCAGCAATCTTGTTGACATTTTAAACTTAAATTGCTATTCAATGCAACCGACAGCCTCTATGATCCTAAATCATTTCTTCTTTGCAATTAAAAGCATCACTGTTAATAGAGGCTCATAGGCTCCATCAAGAATCCAAAGGAATCCTGTCCAGACAGTCATGGCACCACTCCTACTTGGGCCACTGATGGATGACTGTGACATTGTCCTTGTTTCTCTCGGGGCATAATCCTTCCTCTGGGGTATTAGGAGAAAGAAATTAGTTCTTGACTGGAAAAGGGTTTGGGGAACTGTCTTTCCAGCTTTACCAGCTGACCATGTCTCAGGGAAGCCTCACCCCTTCCCAAAGGAGCCCCCCTCCCCTCCTTCCTTCTTCTGGTAGATGGAGATCAAAGTGCACCTTCTTCAGTCTTCAGTGATCACAGCTCGGAAAAGGCTTTTCTGGGAACAATAACAGTTCCTCTTGGTTGTGAGGTACTGGCGATAGTAGACTCTGGGGCCTCGTGCATGCTAGGCAGATGATCTACCAATCAGCTCTACTCCATGCCAAGGTTCAGTTTTTCTTCATTGTTGAGATGAGCTCTGTATTGGCAGGCTGGCCTTAAACTCCTGGGCTCAAGCAATGCTCCTGCCTCAGCCTGTTGAATAGCTGGGACGACTGGCACATGCCATCAAAACTGGCTCCTTTTTTGCTTATTTTTTTCCTTTGTTGTTGCTGTTGTTTACTTCACAGTGACCCTCATAGCCTTCACTCTGTCAAAACCATTCCTTATTCCCTTCCACAGAGCCCCTCTAATGTCTGTAGTCCCTCTATCCATCCCCCTTTCTCTGCCCAGTCTTGTGTTGATTCCCTCACTGACCCCTCCGTGATGAATACTCTCTGACTCCTCTACAAAACTGTTTCTCAAGGGCAGGCCCAGATCTGACCCTTTCAGGTGCCCAGGTCAGAGGCTTGGGACTCAACAGCATCAATGCAACTGCCTTAGAGGACAAAGGAACAGAGGCTCAGGGAGGAGCAAGGAAGGTTCAGCTGAGCTTGTACCCAGAGCCCTTCAAATCCACACACGGGTGTACACACACACACACACACACACACACACACACACACACACACACCCCAAAGCAAAGGGAAAGCATCACATTCACTATTTCCTACTGTCCACTTCTGAGAAAACACACAGCTAAGGCTCTGGGGAACTGGATAGATCCTTAGAGATCTTCTGTCTTCCCTTTCAGGGTACACTGGGGAAACCAAGGCTCTGGAAGCTCCTTTAGATAGGCATGAAAATATTGCCCTTATAGTCTGGGAACAAGTTGTGAAAGCTGGCAGCCCCTAATTGAGGTAGGGAAAAGGCTTGTTCCTGGGACAATTGCCCTATTGTCCTTGGCCAATAGCAGAGAGTACTAACAGGGGTGTGTGTCAACGTTGTGGGTGAAAGAGGGACCAGGAGAGGAAAGGACAGGTAAAGGAGGTAGGGATGGAGACTTAAAAGATTACTTTAGCAGGTTGTGGTGGCACACACCCGGAATCACAGCATTTGGGAGTGGGAGGCAGGGCCATCAAGATGGCAAGGCCAGTGTGGACTACACGAAGCCCACTGGAAAAGAGGTTTGCTGAGAGCCAGCAGGACAGCAATGTTGAAATCCCATGGGCTCTGGAGCCTGGGGGAGTAAATGACTTGTCTCTGATCTTCAACTGCCGTCTATACAATGAAAATCGCTGGTCCTCAGTTTGCTTTGCCAGTGAAACCGAGTAGTGTATCCATCAACCTCAGAGGAACCCTCTCTGCCTGTCTCCTGCGCAGCACAATCCCCCCTCTACCCCCAGGAAGGGTCCTGGCGCCCGCACACAGTGTCACTTCGCTCAAGCGAGGTCCTCAAATGTCCACCTATCCCTGGTGTGGTGTCTCGGAGGTTGGGGACAGGTCTCCCCTTGGACAGGGTTCCCGCGCGCTCCCCTGTCTCCGCGCCCGCGCACCTGGCAATTGGGTCCCCGGGCGCCCCGTCCTCACCGCGCGCCTCCGCGCCTTTCATCTCGGTGTGGTTCTCTGCGTACCTCTGATGCACACTGCCCTGCCTGCTTGACCCTGGTCTCTTTCCGGGCTCCGCTGAGTCTCTGGCAGTCCCTCACTCACCTGCTGTCCATCTGGTGGCCCAAGGAGGCGCGATGAGCGGTGCCTGCTCCAGCTACGTGAGCACAGAGCAGGAGGTGGTGCGCGGCTTCAGCTGCCCACTCCCCGGGGGCGAGGCGGCTGCTGTCTTCTGCTGTGGCTTCCGCGACCACAAGTACTGCTGCGACGACCCTCACAGCTTCTTCCCCTACGAACACAGCTACATGTGGTGGCTCAGGTACAGGCCCTGACCCTCATCTCGCCTTGAACCCTTCTCTGTCTTACCCCCTCGTCCACCTAGCCTTTTGCCATACCTTCACATTCATCTAAATGCCCACTCCTCAAATCATCCTTTCTCCTGTTGCCAATACTGACCCTACTCTCATTTTATCACTAAATCACTGCACTCTTGAAGCCCCATCTCAATTCTTCATTCACCCTGACCCCAACAATTATCGGAACCATGCTTGAACCCGACTGGCACTACCCGGAAGCACTCTCTCTGTCCCTACTCTGAACTTCATGTTGCCATCACCCTCAACCCAATCCCCAATCACAAGCCAACCCTTGCCCTAACAGCAGATACTATTTCAGACATACAGAGGAATCCTGAACTCTATCCTTAGTCTTCACACGGATGCCTATCCATTCAGGGGCTGTTTCAGATGCTGGCCCCATTCCCATCCCCAGTCCTGATGCCCTGTTACCACCCCAGTCCTAGCTGTCAGCTGCCCCAGCTTCCTCCTCCAGCCTGCCTGTAAACCCTCCTCAGCTGTTTACCCACATACTGACTTCAGCAAGCTCTAGTCTAGACCTACATCCAAACCACAGCCTCAACCCTTCATCCTCATCTGTACGCCAACTTCATCTCAGCCCAGTCTCAGCTTCTTCCTTCCCTCTCACTCTCTCTACTGAATCCTGGAGATGTACCCTATGCTTGGACTAAAGCAAGAACCTGGAGGTCAGGGCTTGCTGCCAGTCCAGTGTGACACAGTGTCATCATGCCACAGCAGAGGCCAGCTCCAGCCATTTTAATATACAGTGTGGTCTGGGTGAAAACACTTCAGCTTCCCTGGCTGATCAGGGACAGGGTTGCTTGGATCAGCTCAGACAATCCTGAAAACTAAATATGGAATTGAGGGACAGTAGGTCTTAATCCCTCTGAGTATCCAAAGGTTTTTCCCAGAAAGTAGAGCCTGATCCTCAGCCTGCTCTGGGAAAGGCGTAGCAGCAAAACTGGGATGGCCCATCAAGAGGTTTCTGTCCACAAGAGTGTATGAGCAGAAGGCGGTGTGCTTTCTGAGTGTCAAAGGAGCATCATTAGCTGCTGAGATGGCTCTATCTACCAGTGGGGGAAATGACCAATCCCTGTCCCGATTTCTGATTAATGCAATGGCAAGGATCAAAAGAGAGAGATGATAACAACTTGATATATGCCATTACAACTACAAAGACTGCCTTTTCTAAGGTGTTCAATCTGTAATTCTAAAACAATTTCAAATGACCAGGATATCCTATCATGCACATCTGGCTGCTGTCTAAAATCCCGAGGAATCATACTAATGTATGTTCTGTTCCATGTATTCATCCGTTCACTATAATCTTTGCTATAGGGTCTTTGTGCAAGGCAATGAGGATACAAAAACCAATTATTCCCTGCAAGAGGACCTGCCATTCTTTTTTTTATATGATAATATTTTTTCTATTTAAATTTCAAACAGGCTTCTTTTACATGTCAATCCCAGTTCCCTCACCCTCCCCTCTTCCATTATCCCCCTCCCACCCCCTTTCTGCTCTCCAAGGAGGTGAAGCCTTCCATGGGGATTCTCCAAAGTCTGTCATATCATTTGGAGCAGCCCCACACACACACATATGTCTAGGCTGAGAGAGTATCCTTCTATGTGGGATGGGCTCCCAAAGCCCATTCATATACTAGGGATAAATACTGATCCACTACCAGAGGCCCTATAGAATGCCCAGGCCTCTTAACTAACACCCACATTCACGGCATCTGGGTCGGTCCTATGCTGGATTTTTCCCCAGCTATCAGACTGGGAGGACCTACCATACTTATGAGATATGCCCAGGGAGTTGGGCATATCATAGACAAGTTCTCTAACACTGAGCATATCACCAACCCTCCCAGTCTGTTTAGAGCAGTGGTTCTCAACCTTCCTAATGCTGTGACCCTTTAATACAGTTCCTCATGTTGTGGTGACCCCAACCATAAAATTATTTTTGTTGCTACTTCATAACTGTAATTTTGCTACTGTTATGAATCATAACATAAATATCTGTTTTCTGACGATCTTATGTGACCCCTGTGAAAGGGTTGTTCGGCCCCCAAAGGGATTATGACTCATGGGTTGAGAACCACTGGTTTAGAGATTTAGAATCTGCTCCTATGTAAAACAGTACAATATCCATTGGCGTCTCACTGTGTTTAGCACTGAGCTAAGAGCTAGAGGAAGATGATTGCCTCTGAGTACAGGACTGTTGTGGAGCTTTGAGTGTGTTCAGAACCCAGTGCAAACCTTGGCTCTATCACACCAGCCTGTGAATTGGAAAAGTTGCTTAATCCTGTGGACTCATTTTTCTTAACTTTAAAATGACAGTTGTAGCCAAGCGTGGTGGTTCACATTCATGAGCCCAGCACTCGCAAGGCTTGAGGCAGAGAAGAGACTATAGGTGATACCATGGCCAGTTAGGGATATGTAGTGAGTGCCAGGCCTGCCTCAAGGACACAATGAGATCCTGTATCAAAAAGTTAATATAAAATTTAGATTGGTATGTAAAATAAGATTGTTTTTAATTCAAGTAATAAATAAAATTTAGGACAGTGTTAATGCTTGCCTCGTAGAAGACAGAGTGTACAGAGGGAGTGAGTAGTGTGCACTGCACAGGAAGGTGTTCAATGCATTGAGTGGACTCCCAGTAAGGAAGAGTTCTCTCCCACCTCTGTAAGTGTGGTACACAAAGCTCAGAGTTTGAAAGTGAACCCGGTCTTCCAGCACCATCACAGCAGAGGATGGGTTACACACTCCCACACATACATAGCCCTATGACATCTCTCCATTTTATAGATGGAGAGACTTAAGAGGGGTTAAGTTGTTACTGGGAGTACCCCAATAAGAAGTGGCAGAGCTGAGGATGTGAGAGCGATCTGGCTGTGACATCTGTCACCCGATTGATCGCCAGGGTTGATTTGGCTGATCTGGCTGGCTAGGCGGGTGTCCCCTTCCTCCCTCACCACTCCATGTGCATCCTTCCCAAAGCTGCGTGCTCTGCCGAAGAGGACGACCTTCCCCGAATAGAGAAGGGCCGGTCTTCGGTCAAGGGTATAGAGTAGCTGCGCTCCCTTGCTAGAACCTCCAAACAAGCTCTCAAGAAGTGGCAGAGCTAAGATGATCCCAAACCCAGACTTGTCCTGTTCAATGACTGTCTGAACCCTTTCTGGCTTCTTACACATGATGCACTTAGCTCTCCCCAGAACATTCATTGACTGTTGTCTTCTGGCTAGTGTGCTATCCCCTTAGGATGCAAAGATGAGTAGTCCCCTGAGCTGGTAGTCCTTTCCTCTCCCATCACTCCACCATGTACTCACATCTCATGACCTTTTCCATTGTCTTGGAAACTCTCTCCAGGAGGAATGCTTTCATCACTAAAGTTTAGTGGCTTAGACAGGTTTCAGTAGAGAAATCTCTAAGGTCAGATGCTGTGTCAGTGTGACCCCAAAAGCAGCTGAAAGGTTCCAGTGTGTGAAGTGACTTCCTAGGTTCTTTTGGGGGTGTGGTTGGGTGTAGGTGTTTTTCATGCGTATATACCCGTGCACCACGGGCACACATGGAGGTCAGAAGAGGGCATCGGATTTCCTGAGACTGGAGTTACAGAAGGTCATAAGATACCATGTGTGTGCTGGAGATGGAATGCTGGTCCTCTGGAAGAGCAGCCACACTCTTAACTGCTACCCCACTTCCTGGGTTCTAACATAAGTTTCATAAACACCAAGACAGTTGCTAAGCATAGAACTGAGGGTCCTCAGGATGATTAGTGTGGCCCTGAACTCTGAAACTCCCCACGTGCTTCTGTCAGAACCCTGCCACTGTGGCATGGTGACCTTGTTTTGTTCCAAATTTCATATGGCCCTTTCCATGAAATCTCATCCTTGCAGGCATAAAAATCTCCAGGTAAGCACTGTATCCATAGAGAGAATTGGTGTGTGTGTGTGGGGGGGCATCTTTAAAAGCTAACCATCTCTGAAAGAAAAGACATCCCGTGGAACAGCAGCTGGTATAACTGCACCATCTGGCCCAGTTGCCCAAACCTCCTTCCATCTTCTTTCTGGCAGAGTGGGATAGAAGGCAAGCCACTGAAGGGCAGAGTTGGTGGTCAGGTACTGCAAACTCCATCCCATCGCACACTTATGACCACCTGGTGAGATAGGAATGTTCACAAATGAAGGTCAGAAAAGCGAAGTGGTACTTTCCCTTTGAAAAGTACTTGATCTCGAAGGCTGCTAGGGCCCCTTCAGTGCCTTCTCTGGAGTCACAGTGGGTCTCTGTCCTTGAGAGTCAGCACATAGCAGTGAAACCTCCTAAGTCCAGAGGCCTCTGGTTTGCTTTCATCTAGTATTGAAACCAGGTTCCCCTCTCAGAGCCTTCGCTGTTGTTCCTTTCTCCGTATCCTCAGTCCCCAGACAGAACACCAAGGACAATGCACTTCAGAGACAGCATCTGGTTCCTAACTCACCTCCAGTTAGTTAGGCACACCCTCCTGTCTTCTCATCCACTCCTCATCCTTTTAAAGGCCACTTTCTTGTCTTGGTGCTCATAGATGTCACTCATAAACAGTGAGGTCTTCCTCTGCACACAGGTCCACCAGCTGGTAGCCCCATGAAAAATAAGTGTATCTCAAATGAGAAAACCACTGGGATTTTTGTTTGTTTGGTTGGTTTTTTTAGTGTGTGTGTGTGTGTGTGTGCGCGCGCGCGCGCGCGCACACACACACACGCGCACGTGAGCTGGCACACGTGTGTAAAAGTGCACGTGCATCCATGCATGTGTGGAGGCCAGCAGTCAACCTCAGATGTGATTCTCAGGAACACTGTGCCCCTCCTTTGAGAAAAGTTGTCTCATTAGCCCTGATCTCACCAGTTACACTAGACTGGCTGGCCAGTGGGCCCCAGGTATCGTCCTGTCTCCACCTCTGCGGGCTTGTATGACAAGTGTGCACCACCACATGAATTCTGGGCATTGCCTTGAGTTCTCATGCTTGCAAGTCAAGCAAGCACTTCACCAAGTGAGCTCTCTCCCTGGCCCAAGCTAACTGTTTAAAGTACTTTTGTTTTGTTTTGTTTTGTTCTTTGTTTTTTGAGACAAGATTTCTCTGTATTGCTTTGGAGCCTTTCCTGGAACTAGCTCTGTAGACCAGGCTGGCCTTGAACTCACAGAGATCCACCTGCCTCTGCCTCCTGAGTGCTGGGATTAAAGGCATGCACCACCAACACCTGGCCTGTTTAAAGTATTAACAAGAACTAAAAGACACTAAAATCAATGTGGGAAAAGACGGAACAAAATGATCCAAAAGGAGCTGGAGTGTGTCTGTTTGTGCTTTAAGCTGAATTGTTGATGGCAAAGAGGTTTTGTTGCTTGTTTGGTTTTGTTTTTGTTTTTGAGACTAAGTCCCTCTGCGCAGCCCTGGTTATCATAGAACTCACTATGTAGACCAGGCTGGCCTTGAAATCACAGAGATCCTCCTGCCTCTGCCTCCTGAGTGCTGAGATTGAAGGTGTGGGCCATTACACCCAGCTAACTAGTTTTTATGGAAAATGATCCCAGAAAACACTGATAGAAATAGAGAGAGAAAACACCAAGAATAGGAAGAATAGGTTATGTTATCAACAAGTCACATTGAGGTGACTTAGCTCTGCCAGTCAGCTTACGATGTTACGACTCCAGAGGACACAGAAGCTGGGGATGTATACACCACTGTGGTTGAGGGCGGGTCAGGGAGGGAAGCATTAATTATCCTGTACCCCTGACTTGTTTAATGAGCAGAGCTTAGTTCTGGGTCTAAGAAAGTCCTGAGACAAAGAGCTACAGGTGCTGGCGATTGAAACTGTACAAATATTCCACAATGACGACCCAAGGGGATATGGCCAGGACATCTACAGTCTGCATTATACCCAGAGACAGCTTGAGAGTAGTTTGCTATATTTCCATTCAACTTCATGTGTATGTATGTGTGTGTGTGTGTGTGTGTGTGTGTGTGTGTGTGTGTATATATATATTTGGTTAAGTTTGGGCTAAGCTTTGTGTCTAGAATTGTCTTGCTATTTTCACTTTACACCATCTTGTAAGAATGTATTTATATGTGTGTATGTGTTGTTGTGTGCATGTGTAATTAGCGGGGGAGCACACATGTGTAGAAACCAGAAGAACAACCCCCACTGACATTCCTAAGATACTAGCTGGGCCCCAGCACTCAGCCCCCTGTGGTCTTCTCTCCCCAGCATCGGAGCCCTCGTGGGCCTCTCTGCCGCTGCAGTGGTCCTGCTGGCCTTCGTTGTCACTGCTTGTGTGCTTTGCTACCTATTCGTCAGCTCAAAGCCCCACACAAAGTTGGATCCTGGCTTAAGCTTACAGACAACAGGTAAGAGTGAAGCTGCATGATACCCTTGTAAGGGGCGGGCTCAAACGTTTCTCTGTGGAAAAGGGATAATTAGAAATGGGGTCTGGAGGACCAGGCATGGGAGAGTTTCTTTTAATCCCAGCATCTATGAGGCAAAAAAGGCAGATCTCTGAGATTGAGCCTGCCTGGTCTACATAGTGGGACCTGTCTCAAAGCAGACGGGGGTGGGGGGAGTAAAAGAAAGGAAAGGAAGAAATGAGATCTAGAACATCTGCCTTCTGAGTATTCTGGAACATTCCCATTTCTCAGGAGGTCTGTGAACTGAACATTTCAGACCCAGACTCGCATGCTTAGTCCTCACAGGGTTCTCCAACACCATCAGCACCCCATTCTCACAGAGATTAAGGGTGGTGGATTTTCTAAGATAGTGTTTTCATTCTAGCCTTAGGGGATGCAAACTGATTTTCATATTCTCCCAAACAAAACAGAGCAAGGAAGACAAACCTGCTGTTTCTCAAAAATCAATTTTTAATCAGAAACTGGATGCGGCATTTCATTTTTTATAATCTGTTGTTCTGACTACTCATTCCTTCATGAGCCTGGACCGTTGAGAACCTAAAGGGAACAAAAAAAAAATTTTTTTTTGCCTTTTCCCAAGTCCATACTGCACATTTTATAACCTCTGACGAGGAACTATGAAAGCTCCAAGCCCATGTTGGCCAAAGAGTTGTCAGTGCAGTTGAGACCACACCCCAAGGTGGGTGTGGTCTCTATTTCACAGAAGGGAGAATCAGAGCGGAGAGACTGGAGACTTACTCAAGGAGTCCCAACTGACAAATGAAATGAGGCCCAGCTCATGCTTTTCTCTCAGAAACACATTCTCCTGCCCTCTAAAACTGAATTGTGCATGCCTGTAAAGTTCAAAGCTGCCTGATACCAAGTTTGTCAGCTTCAGTTAGCATTAAGTCAGTGGTGACGATGGCCGGGTGAGACAGAAGAGAAAGGCGGATGGGTAGGCAGATAGTGTGTAAAGGTGTGTGCAGGACTGACTGAGACCCGGGTAGCAGGGTCACTCATGAGTGCTGCTAGGAATGCAGCCAGCAGGGGAGGGGGGAACTTAAGTAGCAGAAGCAAAGGCGGCAAAGGCAGGACAAAGGCAGGTGGAGGGGCAGGCAGGTAATTCCTCAGTCTCAGAGCAAGATGGGAAGCGTTGGATGCTATCATTTTTAAGAGATTTTTCTGACTGAAAAGGGCAACAGGCAACAGTCCTAAACCCGTCTAGGATCCTGAAGATGGTTGAGAGTGGAAGGCTCATCTGGAAGCCTGTGGAGTGGAGAATAGGAAAAAAAAAATCTGAGCAGAAAAACAAACTGACAAATTCACTTAAACCAAATACAAAAGATTTTAAGACCTCATAGGCAAAGTTAAAAAAACATGATAAACTGCAAATATTTTGTGTGTGTGTGTGTATGTGTGTGTGTGTGCATGTGTGCATGTGTGTGTAAGTGTCTATCCTTATAGTAATCTTATTCTCAGGTTGTATATTTTTGAACTTGCTTACTTGCTAAAACGCTATTTGTAACCTCAAAATCAATATTTGAGGCACTTATGAGGTTATTACAGATGTGGGTATGTACAGATGGCAAAAATTTGAGGTACCATTCCCAGATAATGTCAATCAAGGCTACATTCTGTCAGCATATGTTTTCTTTGTGTGTGTTCAGAGCCTCTTGTTCCACCTTTGTGATGCTCACTGATGGTTGCCCTGTTGAAATGTCCCTGGATACAGTTCTCAAGTGCCGTCTAGTGCCCCAGCATAAGAACACTGTGTACTTTGTGAAGAACACAGAGTGCTAAATGTCTGACATGAGAATTTGAGTTCAATGTTAATATAGCAAACATATTTATTAAATCATGGGGCTGGAGAGATGGCTCAGCAGTTAAGCACACTGGCTGCTTTTGCAGAGGACCTGGGTTAGATTTCCCAGCACCCACATGGCAGCTCACAACTATCTATAACTTCAGTTCCAGGGTGTTTGATACCTTCTTCTGGTCTCCTAGAACACCTGGAATGCACATGGTATGTAGACATACATTCAGGCAAGACAGCCATACACATAAGAATAAAATAAACATTTTTAAAAGAAACATTAAATCAAGTGTCTTGAATCAACAGCACAACAAAAATGTCATGACCAGAGGCACACAGAAACTTCATCTTATATTCTCCCTAGAAGACCAACTCTCATATAGCCTGATCTAGCTGGAACTCACTATGTAGCTAAGGGTGACCTTGAACTCCTCCAATCCCAAGTTGTCACCAAGCCTGGCTTAGAAGTGTTTTAGACCAGGCGGTGATGGTGCACGCCTTTGATCCCAGCACTCGGGAGGCAGAGCCAGGCAGATCTCTGTGAGTTCAAGACCAGCTACAGAGAGAGTTCTAGGACAGCCTGCAAAGCCACAGAAAAACCCTGTCTCGTAAAACAAAGAAAAAGAAAAAAAGGAAGAAGTGTTGAACTGTTTTAGTATTTGCTAACTCAGTGTTTGTGGGAACTACATAACTATTGTGGATAAGCAGGGCTCACTGAATATAAAATAAGACAGGGCTGAGATCCAGAATATAAAAACACATCTTTAAACAAATGAGAAAAGTGTAATCATAATAATAATAAAGCCCAATACAAGCCTGGTGTAGTGGCACAGGCCTGTAATACTAGCCCTTTAGGAGGTAGAAATAGGAGGATTACTGGGTGGTGGAGGTCCACACCTTTGAACCCAGCACACCAGGCAGAGACAGGAAGATCTCTGAGTTAGAAGCCAGCCTGGTCTACAGGACAAATTCCAGGACAGCCAGAGCTATGCAGAGAAACCCTGTCTTGAAAAAAACAGACAAAAAAAGAAATAGGAGACCAGTAGTTCACTGTTACCCTTGGTTACATACCAAGTTTGAGGCCAGAATGGTATCATAAGACTATCTCAAACAAACAGCCATAGATAGCAACAACAAAATTCACAATGCACATGAAGATTACCATCGTAATAATCAGGAGGATACAACTTACAAAGGATAGACCGTTTGGACTGTTGAGATGGTTCTGCAGGGAAAGCCACTGGCTGAGCAAGCCTGACAATTGATTTCAATGCCTGGAACCTTCATGAAGGCAGGAGAGAACTGACTCAGCAGAGCTGTTATCACACACACACACACTCACACACACATGCACACTAATAACTCACACACACATGCACACTAAGAGAATAATGATATACTTTAAAAAAATGGACACCCATAGCCCACAACCTCCTTTAACTCCAGGGGACCTAATGCCTTGTATGTAGGTACACCTATATACAAGGGCTCCCAGCTTGTAAGTTATGGCCCTGGGATTCCAACATGACTCTCTGCCTCTCAAGCCCAGACTGTAGCTGCTCTGGGTCTTTCTATCCCCCACTCCTACCCCAGCCTTTCTGACTTAGAGAGTTCATCCTTGACAGTATAGATGGAGACCACCTCCCTGCCTCTCAGAGCTCAGCAAGCAGCCAGGTTATTTAGTCACCAAAGTTTGGGACAGCACAGCCCTTGCTTTTCATTTCTCACTTTTTAAAGATGCAAAGTGCACCCGTAGACCTTTTACTAAATGATTGCTTTCCCCTCTCTGCCCTTTGCACAAATGTAGCTCTAGTTCCTAGGTCTTCATTTTGTTGCTCCTCTGTACACCACATCTGTACCCACAATGCCATACCAGAAGCATCTGAGATGGTGTTTAGGCCCATTGTGTGGGTTTACCACATCTTCCCTTTACAGACTCCCGGTTTCAATTGCTTTAACTTCTTGCTTTTCAAAAAGAGAGGAAAGATCATCTCCCATTTTACAGGAGAACAGACAAGACTTAGCAGGGGAAATGATCAAGTCCCCACAGATAGTGAGAGTATGTATTTGGGATGCCAGCCAGATCTCCCAGGCTATAGAGTGCAATCACTTTACTACGTGTGTGTGTGTGTGTGTGTGTATGTGTGTGTGTGTGTGTTTATCTCTCTGAATGAAGAGGAAAGAGTACTATGACAGGTACCTTGGCAAGTGGCTGTGAAAAAGCCACTTCTCACACAGTTTCCTTCCCATGCCTAGGATTCTGCCATCACCCCATCCCATCCTATCCCCCAAACCTGACATGCAATAGAGATAGAAACTTTTCCTCTTTCCCTCCCTCCTTCCTTCTTCCCATTCCTCCCTGGGCTGGGGATCTAATGCCAGACCTCACTCATGCAAAGTGCAGAGCACATCCTTAGTGGGGTTCTTTGTGAGGAACCAACTAGATGAGAAGGGTGACAGGTCCTGCCGTTGTGTTCTGCCCTGTGATGGGGACTTCAAACACATCACACTTAACTAGCTCCACTTCTCTGGCAGGTAGCTGCTACCAACTCTGTTCTGAGACCAGACAAGTGGAGTGAGGGCAGAGATGTTATTCTAACCCAAGGCCATTTAATGAGACCAGGAAAATCAGAAGAAAAAAATCAAACAAGCAGGTAGTCGGTGGTGGAACAGGCCTTTAATCCCAGCACTCGGGAGGCAGAGGCAGGCAGATCTCTGTGAGTTCAAAGCCAGCCTGGTCTACAGAACTACACAGAGAAACCCTGTCTCAGAAAACCAAAAGAAAAAAATTAAACAAGCATTCTGCTTTAATTTTCTTATGGAAAGTGGTTACTAATCACCCTTCTCCCCGTCCAGAGCCCCAGGGACCCAGAAAACCAGTTACGATGTTCCTGTCATACAGGAGGAATGCTGGAACCCTGAAAGGGACAGTCATCATGTACTGGAGTCCCCAGACTAGCTTTCAGGTCACAGACAGTTCTCTAGAACAACTGCCCCACGCTTATGGTGGCTCCCTCAACATCATACTCCCATCCACCCCCACCTTTTGTAGGGCTCAATCACCTCAGATCCCACTGCTTTTTGACTAAGCACACTTGGGGTGACACCTGTGAATCACATTGTTAGTCACGGGTGTCAGTGATAAGTCAGTCTCGACTCATTTCCAACAGGAAAGAACCTTTCAAACCCCAACTAGGCTGGTCACCACAGACATATCCTAAGTTCAAACAGAGGGCTTCAGGGAGTAGGGTCTGATGACAGAGGCCTTTGGTGCCTGACAACAGAGGTCTTTGGTGCTCTGAATCTAATATTAGTTTTCTGCTCTCATGACTCATGACATAGTTCCTCTATTTTTCTTTTTCCTTCTTTCTTTCTTTTCTTTTTCTTTTTTTTTCCATCAAGACAGAGTTTTTCTGGGTAGCCCTGGCTGGAACTTGCTCTGAAGACCAGGCTGGCCTTGAAATCAGAGATCTGCCTGCCTTTGCCTCCAGAGTGCTGGGATTAAAGGTGTGTGCCACCACTGACCAGCCTAGCTAAACTCTGTTCTTAAAAGCACAGAACAGATGTTTTTTTACAAACAGCTAGGGCTTCGCTGCATTCTGGCTGTGTAAAAGCCTGTGTCTTCCTGTAGAAAATGGACTTGTAATTTTTAATGGCTTTTAGCCTTTCCAGGGCTATGGTGAAGGTCAGCTCTTTCTCTCCTAGAAATGGTGTCTCTTACTAAAGAGAAACATGGGCAGTTCCTACTGCGTGATGTGGTACAGTGTTATGTATCTGTTGTATGAATGGTACACTTAAGACTGTGAACATAGTGAGGTGCTCAGGTTGTCAGCAGAGAAGTTTGCCAGGGGTATGATGCTGGTGGGTAGAAGGGGTTGCAAGAGGACGTCACCTCAGATTGCTGTTTTTCAGGCTCCAAGGAGATGTCACCTGGCCATCAAGGTTTGAATACAGCAATCATGATGGAGTTGCCAGAGGCAAACTCTCCCAGACAGAGTTATTCCTTGAACTCATGACTGGAAAGCAATGAAAGACCCCAGATGTCTCCTCCAGCATCACTTCATGGCCACGGTAACCACTAGCAACATTCCAGGCAGCCCTGAAGAGGCCTCTTTCCCCACCTCTGACCCACGTGGACCAGTTCCTTAAACATCCAATAAATGTCTACAGCATCCCTTTTGGATACTTTTTTTTTTTTTTTTATGAAAAGGTGGGGGTGGGACTGGTTAAAGAGACATGGGAGACTAGTGGATTAAAAGAGGCTTTTTCCCAACAAAAGCACCCAAGTCTTGTTATGGACCTAGCTGTCTTGCTTAGCTTTACTGACTTAGGACCAACAGAAATTGTGTGAGTCATCATTGGGAGCAGGGTAGTAGCAATGCCACACAATCCAGAAACTTGAGTTTGTGGAGAGTCAGAGAGCCCTTGTGAGGAGTCCTTACCTTCACATGGTTCCTTTGCCCCGGTGTATGTAAAAGTCCTTGAAATGGAGATCCACACTTAGAGGGGTAAATCTACCTGTCCATCACTCCTCCTGTCCTGGAGGGTGCTACTTGATGAGGTACAGAGTGAGAGGAAAGACCATACAGGGTTCCACCATCAAAGTTTCTTGGGTGGATAAAAGAATGAGTGAGTGAGGGCTGGTGAAATAGCTCAGCAAGTAAAGGGGCTTGCAGCCAAGCCTGATGATCTGAGTTCAGTCCCTAGAACCCACATAATAAAAGGAGAGGATAGATTCACCAAATTGTCCTCTGACCTCCACACTTGCATTGTGACCTGTGTGTGTGTGTGTGTGTGTGTGTGTGTGTGTGTACATGGATGTGCTGCAGCACAAGACTGGAGATCAGAGGATAACTTTCAGGAGTTGATTCTCTTCTTTTATCACATGTATCCTAGGGATTATACTCAATTTACCTGAGGATCAGAGTGAGGAGCTAGCCACTAGTTAGCCATAGACACCACTGTGCACATATCTTTAATCCCAGCACTAGGGAGCCAGAGGCAGATGGGTCTCTGTGAGTTCAAGGCCATACAAGACTGATCCAGTCTAGAAGGGAAACAGAGTCAGGCAGTGGTGGCTCACACTGTTAATCCCAGTACTTGGGAGTCACACGCCTTTAATCCCAACACTAGGGAGGTGGAGACAGGAGTGATATGGCTGGACAAAGAGGAATGAATATAAGTCAGGAGGAGGCAGATAGTCATGAAATGCAGTCTGAGGAGAAAGTCTGAGGACAGGATCCACCCTTTGGTCTGAGCATTGGTAGAGGTAAGAACTCCATTGGCTGGACACTTTGCTTCTCTGATCCTTCAGCTTTCACCCCCTGATAGTTGACTCTGAGTTTTCATTATTAAGACCGAAGAGAATTAATGCTACAGAGAAAATCTCTCTCAAAAAAAAAAAAAAAAAAAAAAAAAACAACCAACCAACCAGTCAGGCGTTGGTGGTGCACACCTTTAGTCCCAGCACTCAGGAGGCAGAGGCAGGAGGATCTCTGTGAGTTCAAGGCCAGCCTGATCTACAGAGCAAGTGCCAGGATAGGCTCCAAAGCTACACAGAGAAACCCTGTCTCAAAAACCAAAAAAGCCAAAACCAAACAAACAAACAACAGCAAAAACAGTGATGATGGAGTCATATATCTGGTTACAATCCTGACTGCCACCTGCTAGGTAACCTGTGCCTCAGTTTCTCTCATAGGCAAATAAATAGTGCTAGCTAGTTAGTTCTTCTGGCATAGGGGAGGATATTTACTCCAGGAAATACTAAATGTTGGAAAGAGGGAAAGTTTACATTAACCATTATTATTACCCATTCAACTCTAAAACTTTGCCTTTATTACTGGCTAGATAACAGAAGAAGGAGCAAGCCGAAGCTCACCGCCACCCCCTCTCCTGACTGCTCTCCTACCTTGGCAGGGGCTTTTGCTTTGTTTGGGAGGGCGAGGCAGATCAGGGAGACCCTGGAACCACTGAAAGCTCCTTGACATTTCCCCATGGCTTGACCTGGTGCTGGGTTTGGCAACAGTGGGACACTTGTTCTTAGACATCTGTGCACATGTCCCTAGCCAGCCAACAAAACACAGGCATAGGGTGGGAAGTACTCAAGATAGGGTCTGCCCCTCCCCTTGGGGAGCTCGGTATTTTCAGCACAGGGAATACAATACCTTTTTCCACTAAACACGTACTCTGTGATGTCTATACCTGTGCAGTTTCTGGAAACAGAGGGCAATCTTGCTGTTTAGGGGCTCACATGGCATCACAGGCAACAGGCCTTCTGGTGGTCCTCATGCTGTGGGAGGGAACAGAGATGTCTAAACTGACTCACTCATCTTTGATGACCCCACTCCAGGTCAGACAGAATCAGAAGAGGGTGTGGACAGAGTACAGCCTGTTCATAAGCAGTGAGAAAAGGCCAGAGTGGCCCAGGAACTGCAAGTTATTAAAGGAGATGCCATAGGGTGTGTGTGGTGATGTGTGGTGTGGTGTGGTGAGTGTGCGCACGTGCGTGGATGACAGTTGCCGTTTAGTCCCTGACGCTGGGCTATGACATTATTTACAGAATAGATTTTCTGTCCTGATAATCGATAATCCATCAGTAAACTTTTTTTTCTCTGAATATTTTCGACAGTGGAATAATCTGCTAATGCCTATCTGGCTGTTTACTGAGAGGGAGAGACAGTTGCAAATCCTAAGAATGCGCGGGGGGGGGGGGGGGGAGGCGACACATCAGTCTGAGGCAACAGTTATTCGGTTTCTGGTTGCATCAGAGTAGGTTCTGGCTTTGATGCTGAGCCCAGGGCCTCACACACACTACATCTCCAACTTTCTTATACTGTGTTTTCAGACAGGGATTCCCTCCATTTTCCAGGCAAGCCTTGAATTTGTGACCCTGCTGCCTCCACTTCCTGAGTAGCTAGAATTACAGGCCTGTACCGGGAGCCAGGCGCGAGGGCAAATAAACAAAGAGCAGTTTGCTGGTCCTCACGCCTCACCCCAACCTAAGTCTGTAGGGCTGAAGTGAGTCCTCTAGATTTGCATTTTTAACAAGTTCCAGCTGCTGCTGTTGCTGCCCTGGGACCTCTCTCACAGCACAAGTGGCCCTGAAGAACAAAGACAAGCTTTGTGGGCTCTGGTCACAGAGGTCAGAGACCCCACACAGAGCAGAGCCCAGGAACCCGGCATGATCTGCTGTGCAGGACCCCATGTGTATGAGGTGGACGCCGGTGGAACAGAATGAGATGCTGCCTGTATTTCACAGGCTTCATAATGATCCCACCTCCACCCGAGATCAGCTTTTCTGGTTTGAATTTGCTCACTCTGAGCAGGTTTTCACTGGGGTTGGCTGGTCAAAGTCCAGCTTTAGAAACTAACAACCCACCTTGTGAGACATGGCCCCCCCACCCCCACCCCCACCCCCACCCCCACCCCCACCCCCAGGGCGCAGAGCTGGGCGGAAGCCGCGTGAGCTGACGGGCAAACACAAATACTGTCTGAGCTTACTGGGGCTGCCAGGCTCGCATCGACCAGCAATTATTTCTTGTAAATTGCTTTCCGGGTTATGTTCAGAACATGTACATGTGACTCCCTGAGAACAAACACGCAGAGAACACAGGATGGGAGGGCTAGCTGGGGAGTGGGCTGTCTGTGAAGGGAAGCCTTAGTGTTCATCTTCAGCCCAAATTTAGAAAAGTTGAATGTTGGAATTTAGAAATACTAGAATCTTCCACTTCCCTTTATAGTACCCTGTTAGGTGGTGGTCTAGCCTCTGTTCAAATATTCACTTCTCTCCACTCAACACTGATCCACAATGATTCTTTGCCGGGTTGGACGAGGTCCATAGTCTGTCTTCAAGGAGCTGATAGCACTTGGCAGTGGTGATGCGTGCCTGCCTTCACTGTCCACACTTGGGAGGCAGAGGCGGGTAAATCTGAGTTTGAGGCCAGGTTGGTCTACAGAGCGAGTTCCAAGACAGCCAGGGCTGTTACACAGAGAAATCCGCAAAGAAACCAATGGCGGGGGGTGGGGGTGGGGTGGGGGAGTGGGGGTGGAGAAGGTGGTAGCAAGGCTGGAGAGATGGCTGAACCATTAAGAACACAGGCTGCTCTTTAAGAGGACACAGACCCCCAGCACCCACAACTGTCCATAACCCCGGTCCTAGGGGATCCTATGCCCTCTTCCAGCATCACACGCACACATTTGGTACACAGATACACATGCAGGCAAAACAACCATACCACACAAAATAAATCTTTTTTAAAAACAGCAGCAGCAGCTCGTGCCTATAGGCCTGCTATAGGTGTCTGCAGGAGACGGCTAACCTGGCCAGGGACTTCAGGAAGGAAATAGTGTCTGAATCAAGTCCTAAGAATACATGCACCAGGAGATAGGTGGTGCAAGCTGAACAGTGTACAAGGCAAGGGGAAGGCTGTACTGGAAGAACCACAGGTGAGGACCGGGGACTGGTGATGGCTAGTTCTCTCCGGGCAGCAAGGTGAGTGACCATGGCAAGAAATGAAGCAGGTCTTGAGGCCTCTGCCCTAGCTAGAGTTTGGAACTTTCACTTGACAGCAATGACCAGTGTAGTTGAGCAACTTGTGGAAAAACTTGGTCCCTTGACTTCTGCGACACTAAATGTGCAAGAGTCTTTACTGTGTATGTGGGGAGGGGGGCACTATTGAATTCCTGCCCTGTGGGGGTCAGGATAGCTGAGAAGTCAGTAGGACAAAGGTGACTTCTGTGCACACAAGAATGACTCAGGCCCAGATAGCTCCTCATCTTGGAGGAGGCCACACTACACTGTCTGCTATGACCTCCGGGGCAACAGAAATCAAGCCGTAGGCAGCTGACCTGGAGGGCCACAGCTCATGTGGGGCACAGGCAGCCTGTGGCTCACAGCATACCTTGCCACACCTCACAAACCACCCCAGGGGATGGTCCCCTTGGAGTGTTGACTGAGCTCATGCTGTGGGCCTACTTGAAATGGAGCCTGACCCCATAGGGACTCACTAGGATGTAGAATGTGAAACCCCTAAATGTAGTGTGTAGGGTAAGGGCCATTAGGGTGCAGATTATAATACCACAGATAAGAAATATTCTGGAATCCTTTGTGAAGGAAGTCTTGTTGAATTTGGCCTTGGTGGAACATGGCA